AATGAATTAAAAGGTTAACTTACCTGAATTGATCTTACAGAGAAGTGTCCCAGATCTGCAAACATTGCTTCTGTTCCTGTTTCACCAGATGTGTGGAGCTAATGYTAAGTGCWGTTTTATACAAAATCAATATAATCAGATTTTCAATAAAATTGTGTTTGGTGATCAAATAAAGTTGATGTTTTGCTTGATAGATCTCCAATGTTTGGTCCATATGTGAAAGCTGAAAATATGAATGCTTACCAGTCATACAGAGGACAACTCCTCCAAGAGATACCCAAGCTCGTTTTGGGTCTCCRTTGAAATATTGATATATGTACACAGGGTTGAAAGCTTTCAAGACTGATGAATCATGGCGGATCAAGTTGAATATTCCAACGATCCCAATGAACAAGTACCATATCAAGATTGCCGGTGCGAATGTGTATCCTACTTTGTCTGTCCCAAATCTTTGAATTGAGAACAAGATCACTAAGATGGCTACAGAAATCATCACCACGATGTCTGGAAGGGACTCGTACGAAGAAAGATAAATTAGAGAATGACTAGAGACTAAATTATAGACAACATCAGAAGAAGGTTACTAAAGGATATATGGCTCTACCTGTGCTTATACTTTCATTTACTTTCCTCACTCCATCCACTGCTGATAGAACTGAAACAAGGTAAGACTTTCTCAAGTCAGAAAAAGAAAACCCAAATGAAATAGGAGTGAGTCAGCAGCTAGATATGGGTTCTTCTAATTCAGAAACCTCTTCTTGACTCATATGAGGTCAATGTAAGGATCCATATCTCTACATGTGTTGGACCTTTTCATAGTAATTTTAGCAGTTGATACTAAGTTATGCATTAAAAGGTGTCTGAGAAAAAAGAGATTCCTTTGCCACAAGGTATGAGGCCATTGAGTTGAAACTTACCATGGCCAACGTTATGGAGGAGCCATTTGGTTGGGAATAAAACAGCCATCTGGAGGGTTTCTTATTTACTAGATTTGTTAGTCATTTTGATAGTAAAGGGATCCTCTTTGATGCAATAATAGATAGAATTAGAGAGCTAGGGATGCAAATTGCTGTGAAATGTCCTCATGAGCACCCAAAAGATATCCAGATTGCAGTTTAGATTGGGGGCCCAACATACATGATAACTCTTTGGGCTTGTTTTACAAAAATTTACCCAATATCTAATTTTGGACTCTTATGGGCCTCACTTAATTCATAACTGTCCAATATGGGATGAAGTACGTAGCGTTAGTCCGTTAATCACCAACAGTGGTTGTGGGTCCAATATTCACTACCCCCTGAACAGAATCAAGACTAAGGTAGCATTTGATAAATCTGAAATTTGAAATGTAAAATCTAAAATCTAAAATCTAAAATCTGAAAGGTTAAAAAGATATTATTCAAACCTGAAATCTGAAAAGAAGTAGAAATGATTTTCTGCTTTTTAGAGGATCTGAAAAGATAAGATCATTTAATTAAAAATGATATTTATTGATTTATTACTATTAACTAATAATAAATAAAAATATTTTAARTATTACTAATAAACATATTATGAAATATTCTTATTACTATATAAATATTAATAATAAATATTATTATTTATTTAAATTAAAAGGATATTATTTATAATTTTATAATAATTATTTAGTAGTAATATATTTATTATTAGTAAATAATATTAAAAAATTATTATTATTATTATTATTACTATCGTGATTAATAAATATATCAGTATTGAATAATAATAATAATAATAATAATAATCTTTTTTGGTATTTTTTATTACTTTTAATATTATCAAACAATCCTTTTAGATCATGAAAAACAGGAAATCATTTTTACTTCTTTTAAGATTTTAGATCCGAAAAATGGCTTTTGAATTTTCATACATCATCAGACTTTAAAGTTATCAAAAGCCACCTTGACAACAAAATTTTGTTTGTATGTGATTGTAATGTACAGAACAACTGCAACCCGTTTATTGGCTGTTGGGGTTGTACAATCTACAGTGTATACATGCTTTCGGGCCCATCTAATCAGATCTCCTTCCATCATGCATCATGCATCACGCATCACGAAAACGTCACTGGTCCCAACCCAAATAACTCAGTATAGATATTTATAGACAAGATATTAGTAGGTGAACGTATTATCAAGAAAATTGAAAAACAAGAACGCAAAAGATATTTTAGAGACTCTGAGCCAATTCAAAAGTATTTTTCTATAGAGAGAGAGAGAGAGGACCTGAAATGCAAGGAGTCAAAATCCCGTCTCCAATAACCATGCAAGTGCCAAGGAGAGCCACAGTAAGTAAAGCTGTCTTGACAAAAGAGCTTCCTTCCATGATTTCTTTGATCTTCTCTGCTCTCTTCGAGAGTTTGTTAGCAGCTCCCAACTTATAAGCAGAAAGCTTCATCTCCTCCTCTCCTTGTTGGCTGCTTGGTATTGCACTTACCTTCACATGTCTACATATCAACGAGTACATAGCAAAAGTTCCACCTAATAACAGTTGTTGAAATTAATAAGAACAAAAACCGAGCCTTCTCAAACCGAGATGGATTTTTCACTTGGAAATAATCTATTAATTAGAAAGCTTTTCACTTGGTATTACCGTCTCCGTTGTCGTTGGCTTGGAGAACTATGAGAACATATTTGATGAGGGGGAAGAGAGTGAGGCTGTAGATGATGAGTGACAGAGCCCCGATTATATGGTTGTGAGTTGGGGTTTGATCGGTGAAGGTGCTCGCAAATACATACAACGGAGATGTTCCGATGTCGCCGAAAACAACTCCGATGCTCTGGAACGCCAGCTTCATTGCAGCAGCCATAGATGCTGCCTGTACGTGAGAGCGAAGCAAGAAAGAGAAGCAGCTCAGAAACTGTTGATATATATATATATATATATATATATAATCTCAAACAGCAAAACCCAACTTCAAAAAATAAATAACATGATCAAATAACCATGAACCTGAAAGTATTCATCAGAAGTAGAAAAATGAACTGAAATATTATAGACATATATTTCTTTAATTTTAATTTGCTTGCTATTTTGCTAAATCTCAGACCTTGGTTAGCTTGGTTGTGGTAGACATTCCAGAGACCTTAGAGGCCTCTTGATCAAGTGAGTCGAACCTTTGAAAGAGTTTCTGTCGTTTGGATTGGTTTTGGGTAGTTTCCACATCCACTTTCTCTTCTTTRTAATCTACCAAAACAATATTCTTGATCTCCTTTTCCTCCTCCCTCTCCACCATCTCTACCACATTGATAACTGCGTCGTCGTTACAGACTTCTTTCTCCATGGCTACCAGGCAAAGAAGTCCAGGCACAACTGCTCAACTCTCAAGAGCTCCCTCCCTCTTACAGTCTTAACTGTTACTTTGCCAAGAAGTGAGGAACCTCTTCCGTTTTTATAGGCGCTCCCAGTCCCAGAGACGTACCGAGTTCATGGGTCAGCTTGTTCACTTGCCCCCCAAAACTTTTCAAAATGGGCGAGCTTCAAAAAAAACAAAGGGAAAGGGCGACCTCTGATCACTTTTGACACGTGGCAATACYTCATTGTGTTAACAAGATGTTCAGTCATTGACAAGGGAACCTGCTCTGCGGCTTAATAACCTGTTTGAATGCTCAGTTTGTCCTCTTCCAGTTTTCTAATTTGCTTTTTTGCTTACCTTTTTGTGGTAGTCTTGCTTTTGCTTACTCGGGTTACACATTTTTTTTTTTATAGCTATTACTCGGTTTAGACTAAACAACGTGTTTCATGTCACGGTACTCTCCTCCCTGGAAAGTGGAAACTACAAAAAATTACTGAGATGACTCAGAAATCTGAGAACCGTACGATTAGTGCCTGGGTGGGGCCGACATAATTTTGGGCGTGACTCGTGAGATGAGAAGGGAATGGGTGGATTGACCCGTTAACTGAAATCGGAAACAGTCCATCTCTTGATATTAAATTCGTAGTTAGAAGAATATGAGATTTTGTTTCGAAAGCAACATCATGCATATATATATATATATATTAAAACTGGTCGTACCATATCAGAATAGTTATCCTAGAAATCCCCTTCTTAATTTTCTATTTTTTTAAATTTTCTTTTTTTTAATTCCACGTAATTGTGATTAAACCCAATGAAAGGCGTCTTCCGCCCTCCTTATTAATTCGTTTAACAAGTTGGAATGCCAGATGTTTGGACGTGCCAATCTTCTTCCAATTTCAATTCTTTATTTTGATTTTTACTTTTTTTTATTTAGATTTCCTGATTTCATTTGGGTTTTGCAAATAGATTAGGTTTTGTTGGCCATTCTCCAAGATAGAGGCTCTAGCTCAAAGCTTTGATTTCACAATCAAAGCTCCAGTCATTCTTCAAGACAGGTGATGGAGGGTGATTTGGCCTGATCTCATAATAAGGGGACACGTGGACGTGATTCGACATAGGTGATAACTCAACATAACGAGCTCGCTATAACCCAGTCTGACAGCTCGCTACAAGATAATACTCCGTTGCCCCGAGCTAAGACTCTCCCAAGTAGGGAGTACCCCGAGCTAAGATTCTCCCAAAAAGGAGAATCCTGAACTGAAGATACTTCGGGTTAAGCTCGTCAGCTCCCTAGCTAGAATAAGCTCGCTCCTGTCCAAAAACCTAAGAGCCACCTCAGTGACCTGCCTCAGAAGCACCTTGGCATACCACCAGTAGCTCAGTGTAAGGTAGCTCACTGCAGAGCAGCTCGGCGTATCGCAGGGGGTTTCCTGCCTGACAACCGTACCTACCAACCCTAGAGACTATGCCCACGTCTCTCGCCTGGCAGCGTCATGCCTGCCAATCCTGGAGGCTGTTTTTCCTAGCAGGACCGTACTCTGCAGCGATCACCTTCGCCCACCAGCTCAACTTTGACAAATAACGGCCAGCCACTCCAGGCCGTTATCTGACAGCAGATCGCCGCAGCAAAGATTCGGAGGCGGTTGCACCTGACATGTCAGGATACTAGTATATAAAGACCCCGACCCCCAAAGGAGAAGGTATTGCGTGATCATCACTCTAGCTCTTTAATTTCTCTGCAACTCTCCCTCTTTCTCTCCCAGCTTTCAATCCGATTACTAACTTAACCGCCGGAGTGTTCCCACCGGGTGAGCCCCCCGGGTTCCTTCATCTTCTTCCTCGCAGGCATCTCTCGTCCATCACCAGCTAGGAGCGCAGCAGCCACTTCCAGCTAGGAGTGACCAGATCACGCACCATCAATTGGCACTGCCTGTGGAAAACGCTTCGAAAAGCCTTTCTTCACCAAATCTTTCAAGTTCAGTTTCCATGGCTTCCTCTAGCAACGCCGGACGCAGTGCAGACATGAACGCCTCCGGGGAGCAACCTCAGATCCCGACGGTGTGCATTGGACAATTCACCCTACCACTCTCTACGGATGGAGTTCCTACTCTGAATGTGCCCCAGATCATGGCACCCTACCACCTTTGTTGCGTCCAACAATGAAGTGGAGTACGAGGTGTTGATAGCCGGGCTGGCCCTAGCGAGTGAAGTAAAAGCTAAGCACATCGTTATTTGCAGCGACTCCCAGCTCGTGGTCAACCAGGTCACCAGCGAATATGAAGCTCGCTAGCCAACCATGGTCGCCTACTTAGCCAAAGTCAGAGAGGCTCTACTCAACTTCCAGTCCTACTTCGTCAAGCAAATCCCGAGATCCGAGAACGCTGAGGTCAATGCCCTATCCTGCCAGCACAAGCGATAACACCATGAGAACCGTGTACATAGAGAACCTGCCTCGGCCTAGCATTCTCGGGGGAGGGGGCAGAGGAGGTCGCTCCTGTCGTACAAGCAGAGCCGAGCTGGGTTGATCCACTCGCGAGCTACCTGCTACACGAGACCCTCCCTGCAGATCGTAATGCTGCCAGAAGGGTAGAGCGTCAGGCAGCCAAATACATCATGATAGACGAACAGCTGTACTGAAGATCCTACACGCTCCCTTATCTGCGCTACTTACAACCTTCTGAAGTCAAGCTCGTGCTCCGCGACACTCATGAGGGCTTGTGCGGCGGACACATGGGGGGCAGGGCACTCACCCAGAAGGCGCTACGATAGGGATATTATTGGCCAACGATGAAGGCAGATGCAATTGAGTTTGTGAGAAGGTGTGACAAGTTTCAGAAGCATGCCAACATCCACCACCAACCCGCTGCCGACCTAAAGTACCTTACCAGCCCGTGGCCCTTTGCACAGTAGGGGATCGATATACTCGGACTGTTTCCACCAGCGACAGAACAGAGGAGGTTCTTAGTGGTAGTAGTTGATTATTTAACTAAGTGGGTGGAGGTCGAACCTCTCGCAACGATCACGGTGCGAAGTGTGCAAAATTTCTTCTGGAAGAATATAGTTTTCCATTTCGGACTACCCCGAGTGCTCATCTCTGATAACGGAAAACAATTCGAGGACATTAAGTTCCAGAACTGGTGCAAAGACATGGGAATACAACAAAATTTCACCTCGGTGGCGCACCCTCAAGCGAATGATCAAAAGCGGAAGTCACAAACAGAGCCATTCTCCGTGGACTGAATGCACGTCTAGCCCGAGCTAAGGAACTGTGGGTAGACGAGCTGCCCAGCGTACTATGGGCTTATCGAACCACAGTGAAGACCACAACGGGCCAGACCCCTTTCAACATCACTTATGGCACGGAGGCAGTGATCCCAGCCGAGATTGAGGTCCCTACGCTACGCCTGGAAGCATATGACGATGAAGCAAACAAGGATGAACTACGCACCAACCTCGACCTACTTGATGAGGTACGAGACCTCGCATACATTAGGACCGTGGCCTACCAGTAGAGAGTAGCTCGGTACTATAATGCCAAGGTCAAGAAGCGGAACCTCTGCGTCGGAGACCTAGTTCTTCGTAAAGTCATGGTACCTGAGCCCGGTGTTGGTAAGCTCGGGCCAAATTGGGAAGGACCCTACCGAGTAAAGCAGGTACTTGAGGAAGGAATGTATGAGCTCRAAAACCTAGAAGGGAAGTAGGTACCTCAGGCATGGAATATTGTCAACCTAAGGCAATATTACTTGTAATTACCGAGCTGAGTGGACCACAAGTCGCTCCTCGAGCTTTAGGGCCAAAGTGCTGAGCTAAACCTCGACACTACAAGACCCAGTCGCCTCCGTGGCATGGGCGAACTCCAGAAGTGAGTGGACCACAAGTCGCTCCTCAAGCCTAAGGGCTAAAGTGTCAAGTTAAACCTCGACACTACAAGACCTAGTCGCCTCCATGGCATGGGCAAACTCCAGAAGTGAGTGGACCATAAGTCGCTCCTCGAGTCTAAGGGCCAAAGCGTCGAGCTAATAAAAGAACCTCAGCACCATATAAAGACCCAGTCGCCTCTTTGGCATGGGCGAGCTCCAGAGGAGGTGGACCATTAAGTCACTCCCTCAGCCTAAGGGCTAAAATACCGAGCTAACAAAGGACCTCGGCACCATCAAAGACCTAGTCGCCTCTTTGGTATAGGTGAAGGGCTAAGGCACACCCAGCTCAGGTATGAATACCTATAATGGTTGTTACGACATGTAGCCTGTATGTAGACAGGTCAGGCGTATACCCTACAATATCGCTCACTTCGGCAAATTACTCCTAAGTACGGGGTGGCAGTTCGGGGTAACAGCTAAGGAACCCCTACTTCGGTCGTCTAGCTCGATAGTTCAACAGTTCGAAAAAAATCACCATGGTCAGAAGATCAATTGCACAACACTTAACAAAAAATGTATTCCATTATAAAGAGTTCGTTACAAAAGGGGAAAGAAGAAAAAGAAGTTGAGCTCGCAGGGTCACAGTACAAAAGACTACTTGGGGCACTCATCGCTCTTGCCCGAAGCCTCGACAGAGGAGCCAGCCTTGTCATCGGCATTGGTCTCTGCAATGTCGTCACTGTCGCTCTCCGCTTCCGAGTCTGGGTCTTCAGCAGCTTCAAGGGCTACCTCCTTTGTGATTCGCGAGGTAGTGATGGCACTCACATCGAGCTGTGGGAACTCGCGCTTGATCGGCTACCTACTGAGCTTGAAGCCTTTGCAGTAGCCCTTCGCCCCAGCCTCGACCAGGTCTCCCTCAAACTCCTCCGAGCTCTTATAATCCTGGACAGCCTTGACCTTGGCCTCCTCCATGGACTGGAGAAAGATTTCAGTCCGCTCCTTGACATYCACTTCGAGGTTCTCCACCTTACGCTCCAGATCCGCCTTCTCTGACATCAGTGACTCGATAAGCTCTTTTTGAGCTCACACACTGTTCTCCAGATGATGGATCTTGCCGCGAGCTGAATTCAGTTCAGTTTGAGCATCGCAGGACGAACTCTCAACAGCTAAAGCCCGCTTCAAGTGCTGCTCGGACTAGTAAG